TTAAACACCTCATTTTTTATATTTATTCCAGTTTCTATTCTCCTCTATGCATAATGGAGGAAGAAATATCCAAGGTTAGGGGTAGTTCATCTCCCCTGTGTCCAGATGAAGTTAATCACCTTTTGAAGGTACAGTCTTGGCTGGAAATTAGGAGACTAAAATAGTTCTGACTAGACATTCATCTCTCAGAAGGCAGGAAAAAAAGAAGACAGAAGCAACTATGATTAAGAAAGCAGGATCATTACCTTCTGATTCTGGTCAATATTTGACTTCAATTGCTTGTTCCAGCTGCTTGTTCTTCTTCATGCTTTCAAGTCTTTTCCAAAGACTTATTACTTACATTAGCACTCAAAATAAAAATTACAAAGAGCTGCCTTCCACTTTTTTATCTCTGGTTTTATTTGTTATTATTCACTGTTATTTTTTGCTGGTAAAATGCAGTTCTGGCCAAGGAAGGAAGGGGCAGGAGTGGCAGGGCAGAAAAGTACCCTGCCTGGCTCCTCCAGCAGGCAGTGGGTGGGAGTCTGATGGCCAGAGCTCAAACACCCTGTCCATATTTCGATTGGTCTCTCAGGCCACCTCACTGTCCGTTTGTGCCAGGGGTGCGAAACCTCCAGGGGTTCCAAGTGATTCCTAGCATTGCCCCTCGCTGCAGGGGCTGCTGTCACTAGTGGCTGTGAAGTAGATCAATCAGTAAGTCAGTAAATAAAAAAAATAAGTCAATAAGTGTGCATGGGGCTAGCACACAGACAGAGAGAAATGCCTAAAGGACCACATTATAGGAAAGCTGTCATGTCCTTTATGGGAAACCAGCATGCTAGGCAGCCTGAAATGCTTGTAAAGTAAGGCACTCTGCATAGGGAACAAACAGGATGAATCAGAAAAATTTTTGTGCAATTACTGGGCTACAGTCTCAGTGGGATCACAGACATGTGGTGGGATAGCGCACACAACTTGAGGGAGCCCATGGACAGATATAAGCTGTTTAAGAGGAAAAGACTGGGAAGACAGGAGAGGGAGCTGCTCTTTATGTGAGAGAGTAGCTTTAGTACATGGAGCTACTGATAGTGTTGGAGGATGAGGCAGCTGAGAGCTTAAAGAAGCCAGACCAGTATGGTTGACATACCAGGGGGTGCCCGCTATACAACACCTGATCAGGAGGAAGAAAAAGATGAAAAAGTCTCCTTCAGATAACTGAAAGAGGCCCTGTGTCCAGAGGCCCTGGTCCTCTTGTCCCTGGTCCCGGCAGTAGTCTCGATACCTTAGCCAAAGAAATGTATTTGAATTGCCTTGGCCTTTAGATGGCAGCAAAGAATTAGAGATGAGGCAGAGGATGACGAGAGAGGATACTGTATTAAAGGACTGGAGAAGGATGTGACTTGAAAACAGCCAGACTGAGCAAAATAACATTGACACTTCACTGACACATTATGGCCAGCAGAATAAATAAATAAATAAAAACTTGAGAGCCAGTGGAAAAGACCATAAAAGCAAAATTCAGTCTGATTCTGATGACTTAAAAGGGGTATGCCAGTAATGAACCCCCGTGAGAGACTGAAGCAGCCACAGGAACCACATACATACAGTCTTCTTCATGCAAATACAGTCCCAAGGTCAGAGTCTGCATCTCAGGTAAAAGGTTTCATAGGGCTTCCACACGGAATTTGTTGTTTGAAGTGCAAAAACTGCTTAGGACCTTAGGATGAATGAATCTTTGAATGGAATGAAAACATAACCCTTCACCAAATATAGAAAAGACAAAATGCACACAGTGCCTACCGTGACTAAGTATCCAAAGGGGTACCGACTAATTGAACTGAATTCAAAAGCAACACTGCAGAGTAATGCAATTATACTGTAGACTGATACAGAAGATTAGACAGAGCAGTTGATGGACACATTAGAATCACAGAAGTGAAATTCACTGCAGTAAAATAGAAGACTGGGAAGAGAGGAGCGGGGGAAAGAGAGAGAGTGAGAGACTCTATAGAGGATGGACATAAGAAAAATTTAGAAAAGCATGGCTAGACACTACAGAAGGAAGCAAAATGCACATTAAAAAAAGCATGGATGTTACCCTAGGTGTGAGAGAATATAAGAAGGGATGAGAGAAAAGTATATCTATAAAAAAACTTTGTATTTGTTTTTCATTTACCATCAACTGTACGGCTTCATTGGATCTATTCTGAGTTTCTTGGACTCTTACTTAAATTAGGACTTCATCATCTCAATCAGACACTTTTGTAGCTGTGGCAACAAGCAATGAACAAACTGACAATACATACGCACATTACTGCAAATCTCAGTTCTGCAAAGATCAAAACTCACTTTTGACTGTTAATACTTTCCCTTTTCCTGCAATGTCTAATTTGGTTTGAAATCCTTTGCCAGGCACCAAAGGGAAATAAAGATGATGAACATTAACTATTCAGCACAGAAAGAAAGAGGGTGACTTCAAGCTATAGACTGAGCAACACGTGGTTCCCTAGTTCAGTGATGTTACTGCAGTGAATAATATACCAACCTCATAGGATGTTTTGCAATGAGGAAATTCTGAATAATGGAGGGTAATCATCCATTATACCATGGTACACCTTTCCAGAAGTTTCAGATATTATAGAATCATAGAATCCTTAAGGTTGGAAGGGACCTCTAGAGATCATCTAGTCCAACCCCCCTGCACAGGCAGGGTCACCTAGAGCACATGGCACGGGGTGACATCCAGGCGGGTTTTGAAGATCTCCAGAGAAGGAGACTCCACAACCTCTCTGGGCAGCCTGTTCCAGGGCTCTGTCACCCTCACTGTTAGGATTTTTTTTCCTTAAATTCATGTGGAACTTCAGGTGCTTCAGTTTATGGCCATTACCTCTAGTCCTATTGGTGGCCACCAGTGAAAAGAGGCCAGCACCATCCTACTCACTGCCTCCCTTGAGGTACTTCTAGACACTGCTCAGGTCCCCTCTCAGCCTTCTCTTCTCCAGGTTGAACAAGCCCAGCTCCCTCAGCCTCTCCTCACAGGGCAGATGTTCCAGGCCCCTGATCATCCTCGTAGCCCTGTGCTGGAGTCTCTCCTGCAGCCCCACATCCCTCTTGTACTGTGGA